CGTATCCATGCCCTAGATTCGATATATATCGTCCGTTTGCGAGAGCCTCCGATAAACCTCCAAAAACCACCGTATCCATGCCCTAGATATGATAATCGTCCATTTGCGAGAGCCTCTGATAACCCTCCAAAATCCAGCGTATCCATGCCCTAGATATAATATCGTCCATGTTCGAGAGCCTCCAAGAACCCTCCAACAACCACCGTATCCATGCCCTAGCCATAGCCAGCGTATTCATGCCATATGGTGGGGTCTATGGTTTTGAGGGGGCACTCCACAAGCTTGATTAGGCTTCAATAGGCTTCAATAGGCTTCAATAGGCTTAGATAGACCTCACTGGACATTTATGATGTTTGGGGGAACGGGCATGAGGTTTAAGTCTGAGGGTTAGCGGTGTTGGTCCGAATTCTGTGGCGTGCTCGGCCAAGCTCAGGTTATTGTGAAGGGCATTTGCCACGTCGTGAAATTGATGACGGGTGACTCAATGGAGGCCTTCATTATGAACCGAGAGGAGGTTGATGATTTGCAAGCCCCACCTGCTGACCTCCCGGGGGCTGGAGGACATTTCTTGAAGTTTGTGGCCTGTCTGCAGGAACATTGAATAATCAAAAAATGAGAGTGGCGAAGCTTCAATGAACCAAACACATAGAGTCAGGTGGGCGATGAAGAAGCTGTGCAATTTAGAGCTTTGAATTTCATCGCGGGGCCACTCAGCGTTCGCGCAGTACCCGAACCCGAGTGCCTTCATCCTGTTTGGGGAGATTTCAAGCGGGCGTGCAAGGACTCTGGTCTTTATCCAGCCCTTCTGAAAGCAACTTACATTTGCAACTTCGGATTTGGGCCATATTTGAGCGGGACGGGCCAGGTCGAACTCAAGACGGCTGGGGAGAAATTGCTAGCGAGGTGCAGCGATGCCTTTCTCAGCGAGTTGGTGGAACTCATTGCCTGGGATAGAGGTCTGGAAAGGGTCAGGGTTCCACATTTCGGGTCACGGCTTTTGGTTCCTGTTCAGTACGGGTTGAAGCGGTTGGGGCTTCCATAGGCAGCAGGAGTATCAGTGGTCCTTCTCAGGTGAACCTTCTATCGAGGACAATGGCTTCTCGCGTCAAGACTGGCAAGATTCTAGGGTCCTTACGCGGAGAATGCCGTTTGCAGCCCAGCTGAAACCTATACCAGTTGGCAGTTAAGGGCTTAGGTTATAGGGTTATGTCTCCTTAGCCCTCAATGAAGGAGGTGCCAAGGATGTGCAGCCAAAACAGGCTTCATTAGCCTTCAGTAGCCTTCGATATGCTCAAAAATCCTACCTAGGGCACCGAAACCCTCCCAACCCCCTTCCAACCCCCGCCTTAATAGCCTTCGGTAGAAGAGGTGCCAAGGATGTGTAGCCAACGAAAACCTGTCTTCAATAGCTTTCGATATGCTCTTACCCCCCCCCCTTCCCAAAAAAAAAGCGCCAACGGGACGAAGCCAGGAAAAACCTAGGATATCAGCAAAAAGGCGGGTTTCGCAACCTTTTCAATAAATACGCAGCTTACCAATGCAAATCCTAGATAACCCATAATTTAATTGATCAACCATAAAGGCCCAGAATTAAGCCGTACTACCCCATGTTTTCCCACAAGACTCGTCGAAAGAATAGGAAACATCCGGTTTTGTATCATGCCCTGTTTTTTGTAGGGTATTGGATCCCGAGGTGTACTTCCAACAAATGTGTAGGCCTCAAAAAGCTGGCTGGAGGCCAAGTTGAAGAGCTGGTTCGGAGTTTTGGAGTCGCTGCAGGCTCTGAATGAGGACTGTCAGGGAACCACGCTACACTTACCCACAAAATTGGTGTTATTGAGGAATAGCTATCTGCTAGGACTGGACGGTCTACTGCGAGTGCATGCGCGAGCTAGTTGCCATGACACGCGGCGATGCTGAAGACGGGGCAGAAGGCGCAGGCAGCGGAGAAGCAGCCTGGGCTGATTTGGCTATTTTTGCTTTAAAATCGAGGTCTACGGTAGATTCTCTTGGGGGTTACAGACTCAGGACGAAGCCGACCCCAACATTGTCATAAAGAATAAGTCTGACCTCCACAAAGCCTACGCCGGAAAATCACGGCAGTCCCTCTGTCTTTGCTTTCTGGAGGCTGGGACCTGGACGCTAGATTTCACACATGTCTCCTGCCACACTTGCAACTGCCCTGTGAGGACAGGTTCCTGCAAAAGCAGCTCAGAATTCTGATCATTTGCACAGAGCCGCTTCACAAGGAGTTTGCCCGCCATCTCAAACAGCAAAAGGCTGGTCGTCTAGACATGCTACAGTGGCATGCACGCAGGGCCACGGGAGCTTTGGTAAATGAAACCATACGGTCCACTCTGGAGATGATGAATTCTCCGGATATGCCAAGATGGCTAGGATGCCACCCAGGGGCAGTGAATATCGAAGACGTTGCAGAAGAAGACCTCCAGGTGGCAGAGCAATTGTTCAGCTTTGTGGTCGAGGTCGCAGGAAACAGGGCTTGGAGCCAACGGGTCTTTTCTGACCTTCTGCCTTACAACGTGACCTTAATTTTCCAGGAGGATCAGGCAGCGCGTTTGGCGGCGTCTACAAAGCTGCAAAAGATTGCTGGAGCCATGGTTGCGCTAGACCTTCTAGCAAAGCGCCTCCAGGAAAACACAAAAAGCCCAGTTCATGAGCTTGTGCAGGAGCTTGGGTTGTGACTTAATAGGCTTCAATAGGCTTCAGTAGGCCTCGTTAGGCTTCAAATCCACAATCCGAAGCCGTGTTGAAGGCCCCCGCGACCCCAAGAATTTGATTTCGGACACTTACACACCCCTAGCGTGGAGATAGTTCACTAAGTAGCTGCAGCACGAAACCCCAATTCTGTTCATACGTGGAATCCGCATGAATCAGCCCTCCAGTCACAAAATCAGTGATAGACTTCCCCCGTCCCCCGATTCTTTCCTGAAGGACATCGGCACCTTATCATGGCCATGGACACGCGAGCTGATCCAAGTGGGACAAATGTGCGCCTGGGACAGCGACAACGAGCGCCTCCGCCAAATGGCATACAGCCTGGGCGCTGGACATTCGCATACTTTATGGGCTAACATTTGGGGATGTTTGGCTTGTGCTTTAAGGTTCCCGGGCTTGTCTAAGATTTGGGGATTTGCAGTTTAGGTCCACCAGCCCTCCCTAAATCCTAAACCCGGCATTCAATCGATAACCGCTGGAGCTTCAAGAAGGCTTTTCCAGTTTGAGTTCTGGGGAGGCTTTTGTTTCTTAATGACATGAGAGGAAGCTGTCTCAAGTTACCCAAATCTCAATTCCAGCGAGCCTTCAGTAGGCTTCAGTAGGCTTCGATAGTCCAAAACTCCTGCCGAAAGACTGTGTACCCTTCGAAAGACTTGCTTGGAAACAGGCCTCATTAGGCTTCACTAGGCTTCGATAGGCTCAAACCACTTGCACCTAGATAGACCCGGAGCGAGAGAAACCTCTATGTCTAGCCAACAGCCCCATGCGCAGGACCAGGTGAGACGAAGACCCGTTTAGAGGACGTGTTCGGGTGGCTTGCCGACAAATGCCAAAGGCATTCTAAGGCGATGAAGTTCAGCCCGTTCAGCCGCCATGTTTACACAATGACGGCCCCCAACGCCGGACAGATTCGACCCACCCAAACAGACCTTCTTCAGTTTGATTCTGGGAACGCGCAAAAGTTCTTGGCGGAGACGACGCCATACACGACAGAAAATACAGCTGTCCCAACTGATGCTGAGGGAAACATTCTGGCCAGCCCAGACCTAGTCCGAAAACACTGGCGCAACTCTTTGCTTGAATCCCCCTAGTAGGCTGTTGCGTTTTTTGCTGTTAGTTCTGATCAGGGCCCCAAGATTTCACTTTGTGGTTGCGGGCTATTGCAGCTGTAAGGAAAAGCCGGTTTTCATGCGAATAGAGATGCCGTGGCAGCTTTTGGTCTCGTCCTCTCATGTGGGATTGCTGATCTTGAGAGAGGGGTCCCACAGTCCTGGGCAGGTTTCTTGGTTTAAGTCCAACTTTCTTTAAGAACAGCAAAGTGTAAGAATACAAGCGCCTAGAAAGGCTGCCTCTTGTGGAAATCCGGCGTCTTCTTTCACCAAGCCAAGAACACCTACGCCCTGTCGCTGGGTTTCAAGAAATACGCCGTGCTGGCAATGCCGCTACGCCCCACAGTCATCGATGGAGAGGAGCTCAAGCTTAATTTCTTTCTAGGACTTTATAGGCTTCGATAGGCCCTGAACTGAACAGCCCCAAGAGTTTGCGCAAAACGGGCCCCTGTAACCTTCAATAGCCTTCGATAAGCATGGGTCTTCATGACGGCCCCAAGCAACACAAATCTTGAGTTTGCACAAAAGGGCCCCTGTAACCTTCAATAGCCTTCGATAAGCTTTAACGTTTGTTTTTCTTGAGTTTGCGCAACAGGGTCTCTGTAACCTTCAATAGCCTTCGATAAGCTTGAATTGGTCTTCATTCACACTGAATGGCTCCCTAGACCCCCAACAACACTCACTGTCCAATAGCAGCTTCGCCCCACCTCTGCGCCCTGCAAGGTGTTTTTTCTTCTAAAGTTTGAGAACAACGCAGCGCCCGAGCTTCTGATCAATCTGGAGTGTGGCGCAGAGACAAGCTGGCGTCATGTGCCGGTCCGGGCACTACCACCAGGATGCTTGCCGCAGCAGCTTTCCACATGTTTTGCACTGAAAAAGGCACAGACCCAAACACTGAAACCTTCCCCGGATCCCCGCCATGCCTTTTGATTTCCTAGCTCAATTCTTCCCTGAGGTGGGGCCTGTTGAAGGACTAGTTGCAGCAGGGCTAAAACAAAAGATTTTCTTCAAGAAGACCGAGATCGAGAGCATGATGGCTGCATTCAAGCTGCCAAAACCACCCAAGCCACAAGGGCAAAAGAACTTGTACAAGCGGGACTTGGTTCAGGCCCTTGCCAAACACCTCCTCTGTCCGCCGATGGAAGAGGGAAGCGATGAGTTCCAGGAAATTGTGGATCGGGTGACTGCAGCAAAAAAGCCCAAAATCGAATGCGCCGCGGAGGTATTGGAAGCAGTCAGCTCCCTGGATGTCGACAACGTACAGGCCTTTAAGCCACTGGTTGAGGACTGCAAGCGTGCAACTCAGAAAGTGCATGAGAAGGAGTTGGAGGCCACCATTGGCAAGCGCTATGAGGCATACTTCGAAGAGAAGCAGCGGAGAGCGCAAAACCAGCGACAGGAGGCAGAAGCTGCCCCTGCTCCTCACCCAGCTGCTGGGGTCCCACTCTCCCCGACCAGTGAGGCAGATGCAGCTGCGCCCCCTGACGTACCTGAACAACCTGCCCCGGCTCCTGCCAATCCACACGCGGCCCCTGTGGCAGCTCCAGAGCCACATGCAGAACGCGCCCCCAGAGCCCCGGCCGGAGAAAGGCGTGTAGGAGTGACTCCTGCAGACTTTAAAAATCTGCTCCCAGGACAGAGTTGGACTACCTCGAAATCCTCTAAGCCTTCAATAGCCTTGAATAGCCCTCAATAGCCCTCAATAGCCCTCAATAGCCTTCAATAATCTTCGACAAGTCCCATTTTGACACCTGCGTTCCCTCATAGTTTGCTCTTACCCCATGCACAATGGCCAACAGGACGTGGCCATATACAGGGGATCTTTTTTGGCAAGCTCGACAGGGCCAAGAAATGGTACAGGGTCGAATACGCACGTCTCTTGGAGAAGAATTTGCTGGGGTGGCAGGTTTGCTAGGGGTTTCCACTCCCTAAGAACGTTTAAGTCTTTCAAGGTTCAGGAGCCTCCTAATCAGGGTGGGATTGCATACCAGGTGATGACGAGCGGCGTGGGTCTTGCCAAAGATCATGGCCAACGCAGAAGAACCCGGACCAATTCAGCGCCTGCATGGAGGTTCTAAACTGGACTTACGCTCGCTGGAACAAGTACAACCCGCATAACTTGCAAGACATGCCACTAGTCTGTCAGAGCATCGTCTTTTGTTTAGACTTCCGTTTGCTTTTGATCGAATCTAGGGTGGGGGCTGGGATAAAGCGGGTCCCGTTTTCTTAGGCTACGGCCACCTTTTTTGAAGCAACACTTGTATGCCAGGCCCACGCGTGAGGAAGTTCAGGCATTCATTGATGGCTTAGAGAGCTAGTGCCCTCTATCCGACATTAGTTTAATTGCAGGGAAACCACGCTCACAACAGCGCTTGGCAACCTGCCCTGGCCTGCAAAGCAGACAGAAAATTTGCACATGATAATTGCAAGGAAGCCAAGCTCACAAGAACAGCGTTTGGCAACCTGCCGTGGCCTGCAGAAGCAGACAGAAAATCTTTATGGTGACAGCCGGTGTCACCCAAGCGGAGGCGGAAACCCGGTAATGCCGTTCACAAGCCCTCCACAGCCCTCAATAGCACGCAACAGCCCTCAACAGCCCTCATTAGGCTTCAGTAGCCTTTTATAAGCGTTCCACAGCCCTCAATAGCCCTTAACATCCCTCATTAGGCTTCAGTAGCCTTCGATAGCCTTCATTAGGCTTCATTAGCCTTCGGTAGCCATCAAAAGCCTTCAGTAGACTTCACTAGCTTTCAGTGGATTGTAGTTGCCCTCTTTATTATCATCAAGAATTTTTGGGGCTCCTGAATTGATGCTAATCAGCTAATCCCCAAAGTAGGGTGCTTGACCTTCAAAAGGACTTGTCAATATTCTTCACTAGCTTTACCGAGTGGGCCCAAGACAGGATTCCGCTTATACCCGCTGCAGCCTTCGAAGAAGGCATCAGCCGCACCCAGGAAGATCGCATCCCATGGACAATGCCGGCCAGCGCGGGGGTTCACGGTTTGGGGGCTTTAGGGTTTAGGGTTTAGGGTTTAGTGTCTACCTTTATATGTTGGGTTAGGTGGGCTTGGAACTGGGGTGAGAAGTTTGCGGATTTGGGGCCTCGTCGACCTGTTGTCTACCTTGGGTTTGGGGATTTGGTGCTTCGGCACTTGGTTGTTTCAAGAGCCACACTATTAACCTGCCTGACCTGGTAAATTCTAAATCCTTTGTAAGCTTCGATAGGCCCTTTTGGGGATGAGTAAGCCCCCCTCTAAGCCTCAATAAGCCCCCCTGTAAGCCTCAATAGCGATTTTTTTTAAATGTTTCTAAGCCTCGATAGCGTTTTTTTTTTGTGTCTTTCTAAGCCTCGATAGCTTATACATAGCTCACACTCCTTGAAACGCGCATTTCGCACTTTTTAAGCTTCGGTAGACCCTGTGCGTTTGGGGGGGGGGTATCTGACCCCTCCCCGTTAGAACCCTATGAATACACTCTGGCTTTGCTAATTCAAGGGTTTTGGGTTTATTGAGAACTCTCAACAACTGCCTTAACGTTTAGGGTTGGAGGTCTCAGCTATAGGGTTTAGGGTTAAGGGCTGCCGCAGCTGGTATCCTGTTTTTCACCGGAAGAAGGGAGTCATAGCGTGGTAGTTTCCCAACTGCCCAAGACACACCAAGGTATGCCCAAAATGTAGGGAGGTTGCGGTAGAATATCAGGAAGTGCTAGGTGTACTTAAAGGTCATCTGATGTATCCCCCCTTTGGGCACTACACACGCACCTAGCCTCTGCGGGTAGCCCATACCCCTGATTAATAACCCCCCCCTAGTGGGGAGTATAATAGGCATCCTATTAACAAGGCCCTTAAAATGAAGTGGTTTATTGACCAGGGGTCTACATTATGCATCAAACGTGCTAGACGAAACCCACGTTCATGCGCTCTGAGGAAGTCCTGTCGCCTTAGTATACCCAACCCCAGGTGAGGGTTTGGGGTTTAGACTTTAGTGTTTGGGGTTCAATGTTTAGGCTTAATCCCAAGTGAGTTGTTCATCGGACCTTTTCCTACTGGAATGCATCCAATGCAAGGTCGGGGAAGGCCAAATTTGCCAAGTGAGGGTTTAGGGTTTAGTTTAGTGTTTAGGGTTTGCCTAGACCCCCCAAGTACCTTCTATAGACCCTAAGTATCCCCAAATAGAAGCTACATAGACCCTATTTTAGGGTACTTTCGGGGTCTACGGAGTGTTTAGGCTTAGCCCTAGTATCTCCAGGCCTAGAGTTCCCAACCCTTATGTAGAGGCACTATTTCGGGGGTGCCCATATGAGGAGTTCATGGTATTGGGGTCTATGTTGGGGGCCCCCCTCATGCATCGCAACTACCACTTAGTTTCAATCCAACTGGCAATCTACGCGTGTATGAAGCCAAAGATAGAGTCCACAAGTACTGCTACTGTAGTTTGCAGTTGACTTCAGCTGCGCATAATTACATCGGCGAGAGCGCCGTTTTCTGAGCCAACAGGTGCACCGCATTGCTCCGTGCATCTTAGCTGCTAGAACACCCTCTCACGTCTTCAGGACATACGACAACATAGAACTTGCGCTGGAGGGAATCCGAAAGTCCGCGGAAGCTTAATGCCCCAAGACGTGTGCGGCTGGAACTATATTCGACGCGTCCCACACCCCAAGCATTTTCTGTGCCGGAAGCGGCGCGGTTGCACCCAAAACTGCTCATTGGGCACACTCTCTACGGCCTTGAAGAGCAGCGAAAGCAATCCAGCACTTAGGCAGTTGATGCTGGATGATATCAGAAAGGGCTTTTCTCCATGCATCTATAAACTCGCCTGCACACTGCGCAGTATGTCCCACTCGGAAACTTATTAGGAGAAATCAAAACGAAGAACATATACAAAACATGGAGAGACAGATTGTGCGCCTACTAGAAAAACGAGCTTGCACAGGTCGATTTTGGAGTCTTGAAGGCTAAACACATTTTGCGGAAGCCTCCCAGGAAACATTTACAAGCTCTAACCAGCGCACGGGATACTGTAGGAGTGTACACGATGGGAGTAGGATTTCGGCATGTGATTCACGATAATTCAAAAAAGGTGGAAGAGTCGGAAGAGACTAAAATTAGTAATTCCTCATTACGAGCCTTAGAACCGCCCACATGAGCCCAGTTTTGATTTCATCCTGTGCTTTGTTTTCGGTTTGGTTCTCGATTGCTAGCAAATCTTCAAGCTTCTGCATTCCTCAACACCCCACTTCCCAAGTTCTTCTGAACAGGCTCCAGGACTTAAAACGCATGCAAGAGGAGGGCTGTGGTATTCCCGTCCCACATCGGAATCTTATGATTAGTATACAACTATAAGATGACTATAAATCCAGTTTCCATTTCGTGTTCAATGTTCCTTTTTTCCATTCGATGCTCCATTATTGGTGTAATCTCTCTCTCTCTCTCTCTCGATATATATATATACACACTCCAAAAAATCCATGTAGAGTGAGCAAGTGAAAATTTGTCGAGGGGAGTGTGCACCTGCCCCAACCAAACATGCGTACACCCGGGCTGCAACACTTCAACTTCACCGGAAATCCTGGGAAAACATTGGCAAACTTCCAAACCCTGCGAAACCACCATAGACACCGAAGTTTCAAGCCCCTAAACCCCAAACTCAGACACCCCTCCCCCCCCGCCCCACCCCTCAACTGATGGAGCAGCGAGCCGCTAAATCCACAACATCTTTTAACCAAGAAACCTGTAACTGACCCCCCAAATCCAGCATATGTGAACATACATGAAAGGATATACATATGTCGCTTAGAATACATCGGTAAAAAGGTAGGGGGAAATTAAAGGTTATCCAAAACCCTAAACCCTAAACGCCAAGCAAGTATCAGCTCTCCAAGGTCCGCAAAGCGGGACCTTTCTCTGAAGGCCCTTAGATGAGGTCGGCAATGTCCTGAGCACAGGGCTCCCCTGGAAATACTAAACCCCAAACCCTAAACTTCAAACCCTTAAAGGGATTTAGGGTCAAATTGGCTTAGGGGTTAGGGCTTGGCGTGTTAGATTTGATCAAGGAATTTCGGAAGCTTTAGGTATTTGGGGTATATCCGAGGGCTTCTCGAAGAAGAGGTCCTCCTCATAATCCTTGCTAGAGGGATCTCCTTACTAAAGGGATCCACAAAAAGGCACACCGATTTGGCGGAAACTCTAATCCCTATAAACACTATTCCTGTTACATGTTCCATCTTCTTTTGTATTTGATTGACCATTACTGGGGCAACCTTGGTAGAATATCAATGCCTGTACAACCCCTAAAGCCCTCCTATGTAATTTCAGCATATGGTCCCCCTTACGTAGATAGAATATGGCTGTGGGTAGATTATAATAAGATCCCCATATACCCCGTATTCTATCTACTGAAGGGGGACTATAACCCTAAACCCTTTATAATCCACATATCCTCCAAGGTTTTGGGGCAAAGCAGCGCAAGTGAATTTTTACTGGCTGAGCAGTTGATAGGCTTTAGGCTTAAGGGTTTAGGGTTCAGGGCTTAGGGTTTAGGCGTAACCTGGAGCCTTACCAAAAATAGCAATTTGAATTCTTTCTGAAACCTAAATCAAACCTTGAGCCCTTCTTTAAT